ATTGCTCCCCCTAGCCTTGTATCAAGATAGACCGAAAGGATGCTATTGTCGAAAGGTGTGCTCATACACCGTGAGGAGGTTGCAACTAGTGGAGAAAGCCCACTCTCTTAGACGATTAATCAAGGAGTATCAAATTAAGCTAGGAAACTAGCTCTCTTGACTAATCAACTAAGGGTTGCTAAGATCAATCCCTCGGAAACTAATCCGGACAGTGAAATAACAACCAATAATGGTAGGTTTGTGGCACTAAATCGATGTTTGAGACTTACCCTCCATTTCCCTATGTGGGTGAACCAAGTGGTCAAGAAATCTAGCTTCTTAAAGCCCAAAAAGGTGTTTTCCTCCACCTAGGTCAATTTGACCTAATTATGAGATATGAAGAACGATACTCAAGAATTTTGAAAATTACCTAAAACATTGTATTTAACACAAGCTCACACACATAGTATTCAATCCATACAACCTACACAACTCTAGGCTAGGGTTCACAATACCCAAGTGAGAAGGAGAACTACTCCATAGCTAGCCTAGAGATTACAATTAAGAGGAGAGAAAGAACCATGGTGTGATGTTTGTCTTCCTTCCTTGTAGCCGAAATCACCCTTGAGATATGAAAATCTTCACTCCTCTAGCTACGAGCAAACCCTAAACCTCTTTTTCTTCCTTCGTTCATCATTTTCTCTCTTAAATTTTTGAAGAAGAAGACCACTCTCTCACTTGGATTTTTTCTCTTGTTTCAGCTTTCTTCACCTTTTATACTCCATTCGGGCAGATGTCCTGGGCGTGATCTTGGAAGCCTGCCCGTGATCTCGGGAAAAAACGCACCATTCCACTTAGCATCTTCATGACGGGGGCAGAATTGTCATGGTCTGCTGACCGTGACTACTAGCTTGTCCGCGAAGTATGCAAAAGCTCATGAAAGTCGTCAACCTTCATGGTCGAGGCTGAATCTTCACGGTCTTTCGCCGTGATAATCTCTCCTTGATCGTGATCTTTGTCTTTCTGTCCATTTCGATTCGCTTTCGCCATCTTTCATTCGACTTTCGCTCTCGAGGCCAATTCCACATGCTAAAACATATTATAAAATCGAACCTCAGGCGATGTAAACATCTCAAACGTCACAAGAATATGAGGTGATGACATGTGTAATTGGACCCGAATCACCCGCATTTGAAATTGGCGGGTTGGGTTTGAGTTTTATCGGAATCCAACCCACTTTCCACCCTACTCGCACAAAAAAAAAACGACATCATTTTGTATCTAGCATGAACAATACAGATAATTTATGGATGTTATTGGTGACAACCTAATAATATGAATAAATTATATAGATCTTATTAGTCTTTACTGATATATATTTATTGAAAAAAATTCTATATAGATGCTGAGAGAAATAATTTATAGTTATGTTCGTGAAACATGGATATAACATAGTAACATGCATAGGGGTGTTCAAATGGTTACCATGGTAATAACCAAACCAAATAAGTCTAAATTCTATTAACCATGGTATACAATATCATAACCAAACCGTCCAAACTAATACAACAACCAAATTAACCAAACTAAAGTTTATTCGGTTTGGTTAATTGGTTAACCAAAATAACCTATATAACACCACATTATCATTAAGTGAGAAAATTTTTTAGTTAGTGCATCAATTCGCAATTTATATAATGAACAAAACATAACAATCCACATAATTGTAGTTAACCTTAACGTAAATACATGTAACAAATACAATTATCTTACATTTGACTCTTGAGTGGTTATGCAAATATTAAATATGTGTATACAATATATATTAGATATATGACAAATTACTTAACTGGTTAATTTGGTTTGATTGGTTAGGAGTGCCTTAAACCAAACCAAACCACCTAAACCAAACAAGCTAAATTTTTTAACCAAACCAAACCAATTATCGAAATTAACCAAACCAAATTATCCAAATACTACTGGTTAAAATGGTTACCACGGTAACCAAACCGTTTGAACACCCGTAAACATGCATCCGTGGACCCGTTAGGTTGCGTTTGAGATTGCTCTTCTAAAACCTAGTGAATACATTGCCGAGCCCGCTGAACTGAATCTAATAAAAGACTAAAGCCCAGTGAGTACAACAGCAAAATCAGTTGTATTGATACATTATAGAATAATAATATTTAGCAGACTGTGTTAGAAAACAAGAACAGCCAAACGCTGCGCACTCAAACCTACGAAAAACCGTCGCGAAGAGCTGGAAATGGCGACTAGGTTGGCCAACAGAGCCTCCTCCTCCAATCAAACCCTAAATTTCCTGCGCTACTCTTTCAAATTGCTAAGAAACTTCAGCACTTCTTCGAATTCGACTTCTGCTCAAACCCCACCGTCGACTAATACCCCTTCCAAGAAATCGAAGCGACGCAAGAAGAAAAACCTATTCGAGGTCGCTCAATTTTTGCCCAATTGGGGTCTCGGTTACCACTTGGCCAAAGCTCATTGGACCAGTGTGTCCTATGAGATCACCAAAATCAATCTATACAAGGTTTCTTTTCTGTTTGTTTCCCCTCTTTCAGTTCCTTTTCATTTGTATTTCTGTAGCATTTTGTATTCTGCGGTCCCTATAATAGATCAAAAGCGGAGGGGCGGGGAGGAAATCCTGCAGTATTAGGGTTTTGATTGTTGGTTGGTGCTTTGCAGGACGGTAGACACGGCAAGGCATGGGGGATCACTTACAAAGACGGTTAGTGTTTGACTGAATGTTCATCCTTTAGCATAGTAATAATTCCTTGGGTCTTCCTTTCTCTACGTGGATGCCATTTTTAATTGAAGTATTGGTGGGTTTGGTTTCTTGATTTCATTTGATTGTTTGTGTTTGAAATTTGCCCAAGGGCTGGCAAATCGAATGTTGAAAACTCAATCGTGAACTCGAGTCTGTTTCAAGTTGGTGATCAGCATAACAACATTATTACAGTTCTTTGGATGATTTCTTTTCATCCCTGCTTTCTACTAGGGAGAGTGATTAGTGTGTATGGACTATTTCAGACTTTACTCTTTTCAATTTTGAAGTTTTGAGGTCAAAGTGTAGATGCTATTGCTAGTTATACCAAAATAGCTCTCCTTAGAACATACTACATGAGAGGTGAGAGCACTTGTTAGTCTTCGAAATGGTTTTCATTCCTACTCTTAAATGGTATGAGCACGCTCCAATACGTGTGAATGACAAGCACTATTGAAGTTGGAATTAGCCAAATCATGTACACCGAGTTTGCATGCTTAGTTTTTGATGAAATCTTTCTTGATTTTTATTGATTAGAACTGAAAATAACTTAATCGTAACCCCTGAAATTACTGTCATTGTTGAGCTTGAATAGATGAGAAAGAGTGCCGGATGTGTGAAGTTTCTTAAGCTGTGTCTGACTCTGACATATCCTTGTCACTTAAAACACGGTTTTCCTTAGCCTTGAACCACAATTCAATCTGTTTATTATGGTTCTCAATGAGGACAGACAGGATCCTTGTGGATTATGTATGTATTCTTGTCTACAAATGACCACTTCCTTATCAAGCTCTTATTCCTGTTTGGATGAACCAAGCGTGTTTTGTCAAATGCGGAGAACCAGTAGGTCTATATATTGAGATTTCTTGTGTATTTGGCAATACAGCAACATGATTAGCCATGATAAGACCATCTGTTACATAGCTACTCTGAACTGCTACGTTGAGATAACCTTTTCATCCAATGTTTAACTCACTGGTAATTCATCATACAGGATTACCTGCTGCAGAAGCTCCCAAGAAGATTAGTGGAGTTCATAAGCGTTGCTGGAAATATCTTCCTGGCTTAAAAAAATCGAATCAAAACTTGGTACACTCCCCAAGTCTGACAACAACGACCGAAACTGCTGCTCATGGTGAAGTTCAAGCTGCCTGATGGCATGTTGTCAGCTAAAGCAGCTAGTAGCATGACGGGCATTTGATCAGAGAATTGGGTTTTGGGACTTCGAGTGCAATTAGTATGCAGTCAGGATAAGATCATTTTGTTGTTTAACTCAGAGCTCTGCTGAAATGAACCTGGTAGAGATCCGAGGGAACATTAGCAGAAAGATCCGGATCTCGTATTCTCCAGGGTTTTTGAAACCATACCGGTGATTGTCCCCGGACAAATCAATGAAATGATATGTAGTGTTACATTGGTTCAACTGATAGTATACCGGTGTAATATGTAGTGTTACATTTGTTCAACTGAAATAAAATTATTTTGATATCTGCAATGCAGCAAGCATCATACACAGAACGCGCGGCTCCTCTGGACTGGCCGTCATTTACAAGATTGTATGCAAGCCAATGTCGTTGATAACAAACAACAAGAATCTGTCATTTACCAGATGAAGAGAAGGATTAAAAGATCTCTGTTCCTACATAACGCCCTGTGAATTCTTGTACAGAACCGCAAGGTTCTTCACCGCCATCGGTAACCTCTCCTGAAAACAACCTCTCAGAAAGCTAATCTGTCCATACCAGCGAAGAAAACAAGTGGATTATACATTGACCAAGTCTGCAATTCTGCATGCCACGCTTCCGCCCGCAAATTTTGTCCCTTCAACGTCATAATCATAACAAGTTCTGCAAAACAATGCAGCCTTAAAAGATCCGCCACCCCGAATCGATCCAGAAAACAAAACGCGAAGAGCAAAGCCTGTATCCGGCCAAAACCCACAACAGCCAACTCATTCCTTTCGCTTTCTCATCTATCTATGCTCATTGTTCTACGTTGGGTTTGGGGAAATCTGTCTGATATGAGCTTTCATTTTCTACATTTTCTATAGCTGGGAATGGAGTCGGCCGTTACCCAGATACAGCAGTTTGACTTGTAAACTAAACTGTTTCCTCTCCCAGCCATTGCTATATTTACATCCACAACTCCACATTCCCTCTTCATGCCTTCTCAATACATTCCTCATTCTTCATCAGCTTTATTTCGTCTCCGACAAACAAACATGGTTGCTGCTGCCAGCATGTCGTGGAAGACGATGATCGCTGCTTTCTTCGCTGTTTCTTCCCTTGCGATCCTCAACGGAGCCCTGGGCGATCTGATATGCGAGGAGCTTCCAGTGGAGCTATGCGCCTACTCGATCTCGGACGCAGGGAAGAGGTGCGTGCTGGAGAACTACGTGGCCAGAAAGGGCACGGTGAATTACCAATGCAAGACATCGGAAGTGGTGGTGGACGCCATGAAGTCATGGATCGAGACGGAGGCATGCATCAACGACTGCGGCGTCGACAGAAACGCCGTCGGGATCTCTTCTGATTACCTCCTGTCCCCCAGCTTCGTCGCCAAGCTCTGCTCCCAGCCCTGCTTCACCTACTGCCCAAACATCCTCGATCTCTACTCCAACTTGGCTCAAGCTGAAGGTAAAACAGAAAACACATAGAATATTATTTAATTGCCTGCATAACAAGTTCGTTCTGTCAAGTTGTTGGTTGAGGTTCAATCGTGGATCATATACCACACACTAATACGCCACCTCAAACGAAAGTCACTCACAAGGGCTGGAAGTTACCATGTGCTTGACAAATGGGGACACCGGAAATCGAACACAAGACCTCTCAGTCACAAAAGGCTCTGATACCATGTCAAGAACCAATTGATCTCAATAACTCGAGTTATTGTGAGACGTTCAATCATGGATCATATACCACACACTAACACCTGCTACATCCTAAACCAGAACCTGACAGTATTACTATTTGTTTGGCGTATGGGTTATGTGCAGGGATGAACTTGCATGATATCTGCAGCGGTGGGAACACTGCTCCTCGTCGTCGCTCGATGTACGATCTGCCCAAGAGTTCAGGTTGGGTTGCTGCTGCTGTCGATGGAGCTGTTGGGGAAGGAAATGGAGCTCCACTTGGTTCTCCACTGTCTTCTCCTGCTTTTACTTTTGGGGATGATGGTATCACTACTGCATTTGCTCCTTCTTCTCCTGATACCTACTGAGGGGGGAAAGGATGTACTGGATTCCACTTCAATATGATTTCTCCTGTGTATATAGATGTGTCCTTTTGGAACAAAATTTGGGTTTTATACTTCGAATGTTATCTAATTTGAATTAGACATGAAATACTTTGGCCTATTTAATAAATTTTAGTTATATATAATTTCGTTCAGTTTGTGCTCTTTCACATCATCCTTACATAGTGCGATCATGCCGATTATGTTTTATTTTATAATTTGAATGTGCTCACTTTACTTTGTTTTCCCGTTTTTCTTCATCCTTTCAATTTCTCATTCTGTTTGGTTGCTTGAACTCAGACATGTTTCCTCCGATTTGTTTGCCATGAATAAAGTATTAGGGTAAACATGTCTCTATTCTTGTATTTTTTGAAAAGCACATGAATTTTTTATAGCAATTATCGTATGTATACTTGTATAGAGTAGAAAAAGTTGCATACAATCAAACCCATCAATTGATGGACTAAGAAAATATAAAGCATGTCCACAACTCCTCTTCCCCCCCACTCACACAAGCTAAACTGGCCTGATCCAGAATGCGAGATCCTTAATTTACTTACACGAGTCACTCACCTCTATCTTGGCAAACTCCATCTCTTTAGTTGTTGCTCCTATTGCTGCTTGAGCTCAGACTCGTGTTCATCGGCTTCAAGAGCCTAATCGTCGGGGTTGTCTCAATGGGCGACCTAAACCGCTAGCGTGCCAATGACTCTGCCCCATAAACTAATTAAAAATGTTCGAATTTTAATTTTCTTAGAGTCCACCTAAGCGTTGATTTGGCGCTAACAGGAATTTCAGTACGAAACTAACGAAGATTACACAAATGATATATAAAAATTACTTAATATAAATTGCGCACTCCCTAAAGGTTGGTATTTCTAGTAGTATACTAGTATTAGCTTTTTGAAATATGACACAAATTCGTTGGGCGGGATATGTGAGATCTGTGGTGCTGCAGCAGCTAACGTTGCTGGGAAGCTGACAAACATGGCGTTCAATGCAAATGCTGCTACATCGGCACCATCAGCAGCTCCGATGATTCTTGTGGAAGCCAGGCCAGCGTGGCATAGCCGCCGCATTATGAACTTCCTGCTTGGTTGCATGGTTCTCGCCTTTGTTGTTTCCTGGCTCTTCCACATCCCAAAACTGAAGGGAATGGGTAGCTAAGCTACGCAAAATCTGTAAATTATTGGCGTGTATTATGTAAAAAGCTTGAGTATATCTTGTATTGATTGTTTGTATAATAGTTTCAAGCTTAGTATGTATGACTCCCAAGCACTTGTTTTTTTGTATGTTCCGATTCAAATTTTTCTCCATTAGAAATGAAAATTGAAGTGTATAGCTTACTGGTTTGTGTCCAAAATTTGGTTTCTTCTCATGCCAAAAGCTGGAGGAAGGATTCTGATCCTTTTGGAATCTACATCTGTTAATGATTTACCATAGAAGACTTTTTTTTGTGGTAGAAACATAGAAAGACTCTGAAGCAGAGCAAAACCACTTTCATCATATCGATTCAGAACATCAAGCAATCTGTAACATTATACAATCGAACATGATATGTTTGACGATGGCCATATTTCAATCTGAATCGCTCTTTGTTTCCATTTTTGTGGGATTGTCCATTCTGAAGTCAGCAACAGCCTTGTCCAGAGCGCCCCTCACATGCTGGCACATTAGCATCAAATTCTGGCATCCATCCTTCAGTACTTCCCTTGCTGGGTCACCTGCATAATTCCCATTTCAAGACATTGTCACTCATAATGAAACACACGTTAATAGTGGCAAGGCCATCAATCTTGCTACGGATTATTCTCTTGGAACAGACAAGTCTCTAACTGTACTTAACTAGGGAAGCTACATCATTCATGAGGTTCAATCACAACAGTTATTTAACTCATCCAGGTCCCATACAGGCCTTTGTAACACCAACAACCAAGCAAAAGCGTATCCATGACAAAAGAACAATTCGAGCTAACAAAACCGGAACAGAACACCAGACCCATTTGTAGCAAAGTGCTAAACAAGTTCTTGAACCCACAAGATTCTGACTTTGTTGTAATGAAATCAGGATATTGTAGCAAAGGGAATTCCACAGCAGTACCTGTAGTTTGAATTCTAATGTTAACTCGAGCATCTGAAGGATGAGGAATGCTGTATCCACAAACAGATACCCTTGGACTGCAACAGTAGCGCATGCGGATGAGCTCATTACAAATATTAGGAGACTTTTTCTTTAGAGCAATTGGAAGTAGCTAAGGGAACAGACTCTTGATTCAAGCAGAATCGGACGGAATTTGCAAGTGTGTGGTCTTCGTCGACAAAAGAGAAGGTTGCTTTGCTTGGATCATTCAAAGAACCGTGCTCCATTTCTCTACAATTTCTAGCAAACCCCTTCAATCAAATACCATTGCAGCAGTTTAAAAAAAAAAGATCAAATTGAACCCACAAAAAGAAAACGAGGAGAAGGAGTCCATAGACGAAAAAGGAAAAGAAAGAACAGCAGCATCTTCAACTTGGAATTTTGTGTACAACATGACTCCATGAATTCCTTTAGTCTTCTGGTTCTATTCATTAAGACAACAGTTGATGAATCCCCCTCTCTGCTATCTTAATTCTAAAACCACCATTAGCAATCCCGCCAGCACATGCACTCCAAGTTCCCGGGGACATATCAAATCAAACCTACTGAACAGAATTACAGAACTGAATAAGTAATCAGTACCTGACTGAAAAGGAAAAGAGACCGGCGGCACGAAGAGGCTGCTCTGCTGGGAGAAAGAAGAAGTCGAGGGACAGGGGAGGTTCGGGTCGAACCGTCGAAGGGTTTTAGACTTTTTAGCAATTCTAGGTTTTGTTTCTGAATTATCTTTCTTCTTTCGGTTTCTTATGCGTTAAACGACAGCGTTTCATCCTAGGATGTGATCGGCTGATCGCACAGGCCACGGGGCGCCACAAGCCCTTTGCTTGCGTGTCATTGGTTTGGGGTGTTCAAATCATTGTTAAGGTAATTACTAGCTTTGTGCCCGGCCCATTGGGCGGTGAAGTATAGAACCGCGACTTGTATTGTGTCTCAATTGCACAGATAATTTTGCTTTCTTATCAATGGGTTGTATAATTGTGAAACCAATAAGGAATTGTTTGGAGAACTGGAGTCTAAATCTATAGATTCTAGACAATCAAAGATTTTAACTCTCAGAATTGTTGAATTTTTTTTGGAAATGTTCATTGTTTGGTAATTACGATTGTTAATATCCAATGAAAAAAGAACTTATATTTTTTTTATTAAATGGGAATTTATTTTTAGATTGACTCGAAAAATATCGAGAATTTATTGATAGGGGTATTTAGTGGGATAGATGGAAAAAAAAAAGATATGGGAGGGAGAAAATATCCAAAATCTATATGTAGAATCTCTCTAATTATGAGAGATTTGATATCTTTAGAGTTTAGAGATTTATAATTTCTGAAATTATAATCCATGATACAAAAAATAGCAACAAAACATATAACATTTTGTTAAATATATGAATTCAATAAATTTATAATTCAAATTTTGATCCCCAAACGACACCTAAATAGCTCTTCAAAAGTAGAATCATCAGTTTTAGCATAGATTTTCAGGTACTTGGGTATTTAGCCAATCCAAGCACCAAACATTCAAGTCCGTCATTGTGTCTATGTGCCAACCATAAGTGTCATTTATCATTTTGGAATTATTCTGTGTTTATGAAAATGGAAAGAAGGTAAGGATTGTTAGTCACACAGAGTCGAGAAATAGCGGTCAGGCTATGCTGTGTCTTTCTTTTTCTTGCCTCTATCCCATTGACTCCAAAAGGGGTTTAACTTTTTACTGTATTTAACCATTCAAAGGAAACTATTGATGGCGATCATCATATTTCGTAAAGTAAATGATCTTCCACCCATCAAATATGCCTCATCCATTCATACAACCGCTGTAATTGAACAATGGGGTTCAAATGATATTTGGATCTATACCTTATGTGTTAAGTAGTGTATTAAAGGTTCCCCAACCAATCTTAGAAGATTTTGAGTTCAACTGCTACTAACATTATTTTTTATGTTCTTTCAAACCAGGATAAGATATTGTTGGAGGATTTTGCCCAGGAAGCCACTCAGAAAACTTGTTTCAAGTAACCCCTGGGAAGGAATGAGTATACATGTTGCAACATGATAGTGGCCAAAAATTCAAGTACTTGATTTCCCCTGCTTATGTGAACTTATTCAACCTCTTTACTTCCCTTTTGATTTCCTCGCTTGGTAAGCATCACCAAAAACTTATAAGATAAGGGGAAAGTAATCAAATGAGTTTGCAGGGTCATACTCATACCAATACCATAGTGCAATTAAGAACCTGTAACCCGCTAGTAGTAGCATTATTATGTACATTATGTGTAGAATCAACCTTTCCTCCCCATAATAGAAACAAACATACACAAAATACACAATGACGATCAATGAAGCATATGTATTGGCTTCTGGAAGCTCTCAGAATAAGAAATTTACAGAAATCAATGAAGCATGTGTATTGGGTTTTCTCAACCCTCTAAATGACTCCCATCGGAAGACTCATAATAAGCAAATTATAGTAAACCTAACTATTTACCATCTAAAGCCCCATTATCCAGTCTAATCATTAGTTCCTCTTAGCCCTCAGAATTCATGCTGTCAAGAGCTATAAAGTGTTCTGGTTCATCAGATATATCCTATTTTGAACTCAAGGCCATTCCAGCCTAGTAATCACTTCAGACTCAGGTGTAAGATCATGTATTAGAAAAATTGTAGATAATGCAATTTTTAAGCTACAAAATCAAAAGACCTCAAGCTAACAAACATATTCATACAAAGCTAATCAAAAGGCAGAGAGAGCCAGACTTGACACTGAAACAACCTGTGCTCAATGATTCCAATGTACCATCAAAACAAAATTCCTTCTCCTAGCAAATGGGGCGAGACTTGGAATGACCTATAACCATTAAATTCAGAATACATACAAAGAGAGATTGAGAAGGGTATGAGAAAAAACAGAGCCGGCGACGGGGTTTGGAAGGGACTTTTGAGGGCAGCATAGGGAGATGGAGAAGCAAATTGAGGGTGTGGGATTGGGGGAGCTGCGAGATGTGTATGGGAAAAAACGGTGGCAGTGAGTTTGCTAAGCGGTGCGGTGTCGAAGGGACTTCCGGGAGCGACACCAGCAAATTCGAGAAACAGGTTTAGGGTCCGGCAAGATTAAGCCATCAAGGTAACTGCGGTGGGCAAGAAGTGAGATTTTTTTTGAGGGTTTGGTAATCAGACGGTGAGAGAGAGAGAGAGAACGGGTGAGAATTTTTGTGCGAGATAAGAGGCCGGAGAGAGAAGGAATGAGAATTACCTGGAGGTCCTTCCGCAGTGTGCGGTACATTGAGAAGGGGCAGACGTGGCAAACGCGATTTATTGAAATTCCTTTATAGTATTTTGTAGATTAAATCCATTAAATATTAATCATGAATAAAATATTGTAACAAAACCGAATCAATTAACACAACCAAAAAAAATAATCAAACTAAATTTTAATCGGTTTGGTTAATTGGTATATCATATCAGTACGTAAGAAAAAATCTCTTATTAATACATCAATCCTTGATTTATATAATGAATAAAATATAACAATTAAGTATTAACACATAGTTAACCGTTAACGCAAATAAATGCATCTAATACAATTATCTTAAAGTTATTACAAGCAGCCACATAACAAAAATACATGGAAATGGTATAGGGTTAAAGAATTGGGTGTGTTTGTGAAAATTTTCTGACTAATTTGAGAGGGTGAAAAAGCCATCCACTGTCTGATTTTCATCCAGCAGCCAATGTATGAGTTTTATCTAAATTAGGTGTACATATGTTGTTGCTCCACTGAGTAATTCTTAGCTCCAACCTTGGTTGGACGCATTAGCTCCAACCATCTACATGTCAGATTGTTATTGGTGGACTCACCTTCCTTTTTTCTTAATATTTAATGTTCTTAATTATGATAAATAAATCAATAATTAAAATATAAAAAAGAAAAATAAACTCACTAATAGGAAACTGACATGTGGCTGGTTGGACCTAAGAAGGGTAAAATACATCGGGTACCACTTAAGTTTGAGAATTGGGGTAGACATACCACTTAAGTTTGAATATGGCATCGGGTACCACTGAACTCTATTATATGTGCACCGAGTACCACTTAAGTTTACTGCTATATGCATTGCGTTAAAGTTGACAGAATATTCTTGGAATATTTCATTTTCTAAATTCATAATTGGTCCTTCTACTTTTCTTATTGTAAAAAAACCATTTGGACTGATGGAAAACATAATTTTTTATTGTTTAATTGGAATCCTCTTTTGAATACTTGATAGCAAATCAATTTTTCAATAGAAAATTTAGAATCAATTATTATTATAAGTATTTTTAATTATCAATATGTGTTCTTATAATTGAATAAATTTCTCAAATAAATGTACTTTATGAATTCTATCTCGATATAAATAATCCGAGAATGTTATATTTAGTTCTCTTACATCAGAGTGATGTTGTCTAATTTTCCAATTTAAATTTCCTTTTAATTCTCTAACATTATATTTGTAGATTTTTCATATTAGTTAAATTTAGTAATTCAAATTCTCTTCCTATAATTATATTTTATTTTCTATATTTTTTACTGAATGTTGTAGCTTTTATAGTTCATTTATTACTTGGTTACTTTCCATCTTTTTTTGTTCTAAATATTTTTTTAATTACTGGAATATGTTTTATTCCTTATGATTACGTTCTATTTATCTTTCTTTGGTTTTGATTTATTGATGATCAATTAGGTTCTATTTTAACAATTTTTAATGGTGCTTCTAATAGAATTAGGCTGTTTAAATAGATATTCTAATATTAATTTTAAATATTTATTATTATATGCTAGTGTACTTATTATTTTTCTTATGTTCATTTAATATTTGTACTAATTTATGAAAAATTTTGATTAGCCATTTTAGTAATAATATGTTTAGAAGGTTTTCTAATTTTTATAATAGATAAAACTGTAAGCCCAATTCCCGTATGTGATTAGGGAATAATTGTGGCCCAAGTGTAATTATCATTTAATGGTTTAATATATAAGGTAAATCCTATATTGGTTAGGTTAATGATAGGTAAATTCCTAATATACCCTGATGGTGGGTCTATATAAAGAAACCCTAGGATTGGTCCTCTCTCAACCCATTACGTAGAATTTCTTAGCCATCACAGAAATCTCTAAACCTAAAACCTAAAGGGGTCAAGAGGGAGAAACTCAATTCCGGTGATTACTACTCCAGCGCCGCCGCCACTCTCGTCATGGATCGAGGTAGGTTTACTCGATCTGTTATCGATTCGTGAAATCATCTAATTCTAAGATCCATGCTATTATGATTTATGTTCACAAAAACTTATTGAATCTTCTTTTTATAAAGCAAATCGACTTTGATTCTTGAATAATCTACGAAAATATAGTTTTGAGTGTTTTTAATTTTTTGGGTACAAAAAAGTAATTAAAAGTTTGGGTTGGATGGAAAAGTAGACGGATGCACATTTTGTCGACTTTAATGGTACCCGACGCCCTATTCAAACTTAAGTGATATGTTTATCCCAATTTTCAAACTTAAGTGGTACCCGATGACTTCAGTGTCCCATCAACACCAGCTGAACTATAGTGCTCCATCCTCCCTCCAATCCCCATCGACTACCTGTCACTGGCTCCACCAAAGAACATCACCGCTGCTCAATAAGGGGGCTGACGAACTTTTAGGGTTCGAATTTGAAAAAGAGAATTTCAAAATTGGAAAGAGTTAGATAGTAGTCGTCATCGATCAGCG